CTTTAAAGTTGTTTAAAAATCAGATCTGACTCAACTTCCAACTGCAACAACTTAACGATGGAAATTCTGATGCCAATTGTACATAAGTTGATTAAATACAGAAGGAAATAAATAACTTGTAAAAGGAAAAAAAACAGAGAGAGAGAGAGAGAGAGGAAAGATGTTATCAACCTCTTGTAACAAGTAATTTGGGTACAGATTCATGCAAGTTTAAACTTAACAATTTGCCCTGAGAAAAAGCATTCGTTTTTTGGCAAACAGCAAAATATATAAAATGTATGCATCATTAGAGTGGAAACCAAGGCAAGTCATCTTTGCTTAACAACTGCTCTGTTTAGTGATTGGTATTGAAAAAGTAACTTTATGACTGGCTCTTGTACTTACAACTGTTGCAACATCCCTGTGGTTGTGTGATCGGGATTCGGGAACTCCAAAATAGGTGGGTGTTTACCAGTAATGGGATTCAAATATGTGAACAACCAGTTCTCTGTGTGGATGCCACTTCCAGAAGTCCATTCTGGGCCTGGGCAACAAAAAATTAGCTACCGGTTCTGCCAAGGTGGTGCGAACTGGCTGAATCCCACCACTGGTGTTTACAATGATTACCAGATACAAATCTAATTTGTACCAAAGCTCTTCTGCAGCTTTCTTGTTACATATTTTGGAATATTAAATCTAATTACTATTCAGATTTGGTAGTTATCTGCAATAAAATCTAGTGTTTGTATACATATCTGCATGTATGTATATATTGCATGTATATATGTGTATCTATGTGTATGTGTGTATAATATGTATATAGCAGCGAGACTGATGCGCCAAACAGCTATGAAGAGGGATTTTCAAATTTCAGACCGAGACCAGAACTAGTGAGGCTAAACGTGAGCAAGCGGGTGGTGGGCATGCTGACCATACGTTCTATGATCTGACCGTTAAAATGGTCACACAAGCATGCATGTAAGCCCTTCCACTCTTCAGCCCTTACTTTGATGATGTCAACAGCAAGTTGACAAAAGCTCAGTAATAAAAAAGACTATTTTACATCCCGGAGTTCACTAATTTTATTGATTTTAAAAAAAATGTTTACACCTGGGATTCAAGTATTTAGAATAATCAAAGATATAATATGTATATGTGTATATGCATATGCATACAGTGTGTGTGCGTAATGAATGCATAGTAATACATTCCCCACCATGTTAATTTTAAGGAAAACTATTTCCTATAGAAAGGAAACCAATTTGTAACCTTTAAGGGGTAAAACTTTGTCTCTAATATCTAGTTGTAGCATGATAAGGAATCTGATATAGCAGGGGGAAAATCTATGTTCTATTGACATGATTTCACAAGACCTTATGAGTCACAAAAAAACCCACAGAGACTTTTTAAAAGACTGGAATGGACTTTTTGTTGAAAGAAGAAAAGACTGAATTGATGATTTATGGATTTGGGGGCCAGCAAGGATTAAAGATGGCAATTGATAGTATAGAAGCCAAAATCGTATGTTTTCACTTTTTTCTTATTATGTCTCTTATTTTTCTTGCCATTTTTTATACTTTTATTGTACTGTACAATTCTAGTAGAAATATATTAAAAAAAATAAACGAAAAAGGAAATTATTGTATCCTAAAGTGCTCATTTCCTTTTTATTTTCTTAGATTGCAAGGTAGAATACGAAAGTCTCATGAAACAAGCAAGACTCAAGAGAAACATTGCTGTGTGAGTGCTGTTGCTCAAAGCTGGCTGAAATATTCACCTTGGTGTTCTTTTTAAATTAGCACTCAGTAACTACTAACATCATCTCAATCTTTTACTTCCTCCTGAAATACACTTTGTTCCTAAATATTTTTCTACACTTCTGTAAACCTTGTGTCTGTCTGTCTCCCTCTAATGATGATGAATGGTGCCATTGTGGATACATAGGAATCCAGCATATTATTAATTTTCATACAAGGAATGACAGTGTGAATATGAGGGGTGGGGGGAGAAGGGCAACTTGCAAAAGATAATGCTGCTCTGGGAAATACTCCGGCATAAAATTCAAAATGCTCCATTCCACTCTTTCTCCGTTGTTGTTGTTTTCAGTCCTTTCCCTCAACAGTCCTTGGCTCTGTTTGCACAACCTGACTGACCCAGTCAATCACCTTCTTGAACAACAACCTAACTTTGTGCATCAAAGCACACAATTGTGGATGACCTGGCCAGACAGATAGCAACTGGAATCAACACCATACTCCATCTTTTTCTGTCCATTTCACTCAGCTGTGCCATTGAAGATATGATAGCAGTATTCCAGTATTTGAGAGGCTGCCACAAAGAAGAGGGGGTCAAATTATTCTCCAAAGCACCAGAGGGCAGGACAAGAAACAATGGTTGGAAACTGATCAAAGAGAGAAGCAACCTGGAATTAAGGAGAAAGTTCCTAACAGTGAGGACAATTAACCAGTGGAACAGCTTGCCTTCAGAAATTGTGGGCGCTCCACTGGAGGTTTTTAAGAGAAGATTGGGCAGTCACTTGTCTGAGATGGTATAGGTTCTCCTGCTTGAGCAGGGAACTGGACTAGCAGACCTCCAATGTCCCTTCCAGATTCTATTCTATTCTATTCTATTCTATTCTATTCTATTCTATTCTATTCTATTATATATAAAATTTATTCATGATCAATTTATTAAACGGAAAATCATCAGTGGTAGAATTCATTTTCCATAAACTCAACACAGCCATCAGAGTTGGGCAGCTAATAAATTTAACTAAAACATCAACCAAAACAATACTTATAATAATTCTAAGAGCTTCCCACTATTGCCAGACTGTGGTGGCAGAATCATGTCTTCAATGTGTTCCTAAAGGCTGGGAAGATCAAGGCCAGTCTAAGATCTGGGGTGATGAGCCCCAGGGCAGGTGTATGGTGGAAAAAACTCCATTCCTGGGTACAGTGACACTATTCTATAGAAAACACCTATAACATGCCTCTCCTGCTGGTTGTGATGGGATGGGTAGATGTAACCAGGAAGAGGTGGTTTGTCACATAATCCATCCCATGCCATACAAGGCTTTATAGGTCATACCCAGCCCCTTGAATTGAACCCACAAGCATACGGGCAACTAATGCAGCTTGTGGAGCAGAGGTTTAATACGCACTGATGGGGAAGCACACATAATCACCTGCATGGTTATATTTTGTACCACTTGCAGTGTCTGGATGCTCTTCAAGGGCAACCTCATATAGCATTACAATAACTCATTTGAGAGATGACCAGGGCATGAGTGATTGTGAGCTATCTAGAACCTCCTCGGTCAAGTACAGGCACAGCCTGTGCACAACATGGAGTTGCACAAAGGACCTCTTGGCCACAGCTGCCACCTGCTCTGAGCAGGAGCCCTGAATCCAGAAGGCTCAGATTGCACACTTGATCTATCTGAGGCAGTCCCACCACATCCACAAACAAATATGGTAAATCCCCAGAACCAACAGCCCCCAAACCCAAAGCCACTTAGTCTTGCTAGGATTGAGATTCTGCCTTTTGTTCTCTATACAGACCCCCATATTCTTCATCCCAAGTACAGGACTCCAATAGCATTGCTTAATTTGCCAAGAGTGGTTTGTTGAATAAGCCTCGATGCCAAGGTTGTGCCTTCAGTAATTTCATAAATTAGAGTTTACAAACCACAACACATTTAAGCCCAAACCAAAAAGGCCTTATCGTAGCTTAATGCTGTATTGTGGATTTAGCAAATATGTGGACTTTTAAAATCAATTGGAATTAATCACAGCTTCAGAGAAGCTATTTTATAGTTGCAGATTCCATAATTTTTTTTAAAAAAATAAAATGTGTGCCTGTGGGCTGCAAAAGACTGAAGGACCCTGCTTTAAACAACAACAAAAAAAGACCAAACATATGCATACAGGCGTACATCTTGTGAAGAGCAAGAGTTCTCAATTTTTTCTTTCTGGCAGTTCTCCTACGGGTGAGGTTTTGTCACTGCTTTTGTTTGGCTTCATCTTTTAAATGATGACTTAATCATAAAATGCACTGCTATGTATCTTTGGAAGCGGGTTTCTGTGCCAAAAAAACAAAAAAAAAGCAAGTCTAATAAGAGAAACACCCATCACAACCTCCCAGTTCTCTGGGTTTTCTGCCAACTGGAGGCTGCGGATGAGCAACATTTCAGCTAGGCAACTGGAAAAGGCTCCGCTTTTGGCCCCAACTCCGTGGAGGCTTTCTTCCAAGTTATGCGTGTAAGGAATGCGCGAAAAGGAAGACTTCCTTGAATTCCGTGAGTGTCTCAACTCTTAAGACGCAAGATTAACAAAGACTAAGAACCGGAGTGGCTGAAAGCCTTCCTGGCATGAAATCTCAATTACAGGAAAGAGACGGTTGCTTAACGATGAGTTCTTGACGACAGAAACCACAGCAGCTACGTTCCCACAAAAAAACAAAGCACATTTGGGTTCTCCGTGACACGTGAACCTCCAGCTAGTAGTGAATATATTTTGTATGATGTGCTTGTGGGCAAATGACTCTTCTTATTTCTCGGGCTCACGTTCCTAGGCTTTTACGACCTACTGAGCCACACACCAACCAACCGCGGGGGGAGGATGCGTTCGCGAGATGCGTTCGAATGAAAAACGCGGGTTGGGGTACATCCTGACGTGCAAGCAACCTTCCCGCTCTTTTTCAATGTGCCACATCCTTTCCTTTTGGGGCGGGCATCCGCGCGGGGGGTAGAACGGCAATCCTCCACCCGAAACGTGGAAAAGCGAACTCGCGCGTTTAAGCGGCCCTAGCCAGCCGCTGGGTGGGCGGCCTATCTGTTTCCGCGCGGGGCCCGGAATCGGGGGCGAGCGATTCGACCCGAGCGCGTCCTCAGCGGCGGAGGCTGAAGGAGGCGGCGATAGCGGGAAATGAAGAGCCCGGCTGTCTTCTTCCTCGAGAGAAGGCGAAGGGGGAGGGACGGAAACCCATAAGGAAACCGCAAGGGGTTGGCCTGAGAGGCGAGCGAGTTGTCGGGACAGGCAGGGCGGCAACCGATTGCAACGGTATGTCTTGCGGCGGCGGGGGTGGGTGGGGGGGAGTTGTGTGATAGTGAAAAATCAGGGTCTCCTCTGTTAATTTTAAAACTGGATTATTTCCGTTCGTGGATGATTAATGCTCGCATCGGGTTTCCCCCCCCCTTTTTTTTTATAAATGTGGTAGATGAGCGAGCTTATTCACGCGATCTCTTTGCCGGAGCGCCCGTGCCTCTCTCTCGATTTGTCTGCCTTTCTTGGCTTGCTTTCCTTCTGAATTTTAATGCAGAGGTAAGGAAACGTCCGCGAGCCATCAGATCTTCTTTGGGGGGGGGGCGCGGGCGGGGGTTTACATCCCATCGACCTGGTAGCTTCTCCAACCTACACTGCACCTCCCATCATTCCCAACCAGGAGGGTGATGGACGTTGTGATCTTGCGTAATTAGTTTCGGGGGGTGGGGGGAAGATTGCTTGAGTCCAGAGGCTGTCAAAACATTTTGATCCAAAGACGACCCCCTTTACCTTCTCAGAAGTGATTGAGGGCTTTGGTTTATATTTGTTCATGTCGGTGCATTGCAAATTAAAATGGAAACATTTTAAAATAATTATTTGATTTTTGCAGACCCCCCCTCCCCCTGAAAAGATCCCTGGGGCCTCCAGGGTCACCAGAGCACCCGTTGAGAGCTACTGCATTTGTGTTTAAGGCCACATTTCCTTCAACTTCAGAGGAATTTTCAAAAAAGGAAATAGTGTAATATTTTTTTCTCTTTTATAACTGGCCACATTTCCTTCAACTTCAGAGGAATTTTCAAAAAGGAAATAGTGTAATATTTTTTTTCTTTTATAACTGACTGTTCCGCCCCTTCCATTGTGATGGTTGAATGTGAAAGATCGCGTCTTTTTCCTGCTTGCCCCCATCCTGCTGAGTTTAAAGGATGGTGGAGGAAACCACTGATTTCTTCCAATATCTGCCCTTTTACTTGCACTTTGCGGCATATGCCGTTGCAGTTTTCTAGCACTGCGAGGTATTTAAGCAGGGCTCTATTAAACGAATACAAACTTGTATTGGGGTATCTCTTAAGTTTCAACTTCCTGTTGGGAATACCTACCCCTGTATCCAAAACCTAGAGTGTGTGGCAGCTGCTTATAGGCATTTATTAGCGAGTGGATGATCTTTCCTCCCCTGTTGCTTCTCATGTTCAACAGCTGAGCCCTGGTGTTGAAAACAAGCTCCAGAGCTGAAATCCGCAGAGACCTTTCCAGCCATCAGGTTTTTCATTGGGTTCAAAGTATAAGGTATTTTGGAATATTCCCAGGGAACACAGGGACACTTTATGAGAATGTCTGGCTAAAGGACAAAGTGCTGTTTATTTTAAAACAAATTCTCGCACTGAATTTACTCTGTTCGGAAACTCTGTTATCTTATTGAAGAAGAAATCTGAGACCATTTCAGTCAGAAGTACAAAACTGAAAGTGAAGTAATAAGACACTTGCAAATTGGCAGATGCTTTCTGCTTTAATTCATGCTGAACAGCCTCGTTCTCAGTTTTTTGGGTTTGAGGGCAATTAACATTCTGTAGAACTTTGCTTTTGGTAGAACCTTGCTATCATATAATTTATTTCTGAGTTATCTACTTCTGGGGAAAAATTTAGCTGAGAAATAATGCTTGCCCAAGATACCATAGAGTTACCCTGTGTTGAGAGAGGTGGCTAATAAAATAAAGTTGATAAATAAAGAAATCCCTTTATCATTGTGGCTAAACATGTATTTGTCCTTGTTACATTCTTTAGAGTTGTAGCTGACTCCTGGTGACTGTGGATAAAAAAAACTGTCCTAGTTGTCCTAACTCTTACTAAATAGCCCAAAAAAGAGAGACATATATTACACTCCAGTTGTATGTCAGAATCACTGCATGATAGAGTTCTTGAGGGTGCAGTCACATAGTTTCCTATGCTGTGCCTAGCCCCTTCGTATGCTGTTGGCTCTCCTTCGATCCATCTTGTCCAGCATTATCTTTTCTATCAGTCCTCATGCTGTGTCTAACATGGCTTTTGTATTGGGATCCTTGATTCTAATGAACATCCGAGCTTGATTTCCTCCATGGTTGTTCCTTTGGGTTGTCCAACAAGTGTGAAGCGGTTTCTTCCAGCTATGCAGGAGCAAATCTTTTTCTGAAATCTGTTCCTCCATTGATATAAGCCCAGTGTATGTGGACCATTCTAATATTTGTCTGAAATGTCACTGTTGTTCATGAGTTTATATGCACTCCCTTTTGCGCATCAATCTTTCTCTGTTGTATAACTATCTTTACCAATATTGCAGCCTAGAAAATCAAACTTATCAACCATGTCATTATTTGTCTTAAATTCCTCTAGTTTTCCAGTAGACATGATCTTTGTTTCCTTGATGTTCAAAAAAAGCCCAGCCTTTCACTCTCCTGTTTTAGAATTGTTCATCTTAGCTATTTGCCATTTTTTGCAACCAAGATAGTGTCGCCTGTATGAATGAATTTATTCTCATTCCCTTGTGTGTTGCAGATGCAAAATAAGAAGAGGTAATTTGCAAACATTTGGTAGTTCCAATTAACTTTATATTAAGCATGTACAGTAATTTATAAAAAAAAATTAAACTTAAAAAAAAACCCTGGAGAGAAAGAGATGAATCATGCTTAGTGATTTCTTATACCGTTGCATCTTTCTGCTTTAGAAGCAACAAATAATATAGCTCCCGAGAAAACAGTTTTGAAGCTTGTCTGGGGAATAGCCCTGCCTTTTTCCTCTGGTCAGTTTTACTTGTCATTGGATCCCTTGCCATATGACATACTGCAGCTCTAAAAATGGTTGGTGGATTAAGTGGCTTGCATGAGCTATCCTAATCTTTACTGCCTGGGGCTTGTCTATGAAGCATTTGACCTTAATGACCTCAATATAGTATATTCTTTTTTTGGAGGGGGGGCAAAAGGATATAACTTCCTCTAAAGTGCTTTTGGGGGTACACATGTTTGAACAAAAAATAACAGATGCTGGTTGACTCCAGTGCCACTCCGCCACCATGGAGTTATTATGCCAAGTCTGCCCTTTTGCAGAAATAAATTCAAATACTGCCCTAATTCTATGTGATTTTAAATAGAAGCTGAGCAGTGATCCTGTTTTTAGGGGAAGTTATTCAGGGGTGAATCTCCCTCCTCCTCCCAGAGATCACAACAAATCAGAACATTTTTCAGAACTTTCTAATTCTTTAGAATGAAGGACCTTAATAAACGTTACTGTTATAGAACCAGAGTCCTCTTTCTAAACCAGTCGCAGTATGCGGCAAGACCCAGATGACTTTTGCTGATGTTGGAACAACTGAGCAGTGTTGGACCTGATTAGTACCTCAGAGGGAGAACATCAGGAAATCCCAGGTCTGAAGATTGGACCAGGAAGTGACAAAGGATTTCTATAGGATTACCTTGATTTAATTTTAATATAATTTTTCAATCCTTTGGTTGTCTGCCATTCAGAAGATGAGTGCAGTAAAGATTAGAAAATGGAATTCTATGCATATTTTCCCCCACTATAATTTGTAAGGATATGAGTAAATTGATCTGGGCTGCATAAAAATAGTGAGATGGTAATTGTGTGTGGAGCCCCTAGCATAGAGGAGAGCTGCTTGCATCAACAATTAGGAAAGTGCAGCATCAGTCAGTTTTCCCTGTGTAAGGTTTTCCACTTAGCCTCACAATTGCCCCAGCATTACTCAGGAATTTAAAAGAGCCAAAGAAACTCCTGAGCCGAGGTTTCAGCAAGCAAACAACTTTTATTTTGATCAAAATAGAGTTGGGTGACCCCATCTCTCTTCGTGGCTGGTAGAGAGATGAAGGCAACAACCAGGAAAGATGTCTTCCACCTTTTATACCTTTCCAGAACAAAAAGATCAGGTCTTGGTACTAGGCATAAGATGGCACAAAAAAATAATTCCTAGATGATGACTCATACACAGCAACCCAGGCTCCATCCGTAACTCCTTTCCCCCCTCCCCTTACCGTGCTCTTTTCATATAAGCAATCACCTATACCTAAAGCATAAAACATTTGCTTCTATATAACTAATTTCCCAATCTAAAGCATCTACAAAGCTGCTTGCACATAAACAAAGATATATATATATAATAATTACAAAATATCACTACTAATATCAATATTACTAATATCAACCTTAAGCATAATAAAGTCCCTTCACCTGGTACACTGGATAGGAAATGAGCTAACTGTACTTTATTGTCAGGTTACGTTAACGGAATTTTGCAAGTCTGAAAATAAAAATCTCCCACTATCTCTTCTATAGCCTGATAAGTTCCTTCTGAGTTTCTTTCTCTGCCTATTATGCACTTGTGGACTCTGCCCTCTCTTATCCCTAGGCAGCATCTCTTCCTTCCCATCAACTAGTCTAGTTTAATGAAGAGAAGGACGAGGGGGGACATGATAGCAGTGTTCCAATATCTCAGGGGCTGCCACAAAGAAGAGGGAGTCAAACTATTCTCCAAAGCGCCTGAAGGCAGGACAAGAAGCAACGGGTGGAAACTAATCAAGGAGAGAAGCAACCTAGAACTAAGGAGAAACTTCCTGACAGTTAGAACAATTAACCAATGGAACAACCTGCCTCCAGAAGCGGTGAATGCTCCAACACTGGAAGTTTTTAAGAAGAAACTGGACAGCCATTTGTCCGAAATGGTGTAGGGCAGTGGTGGCGAATCTATAGCACGGGTGCCAGAGGCGGCACTCGGAGCCCTCTCTGTGGGCACACGTGCCGTTGCCCCAGCCTTGCCTCCCCCACGACCCCCTCACCAGCAGCCCCCCTGGAGGAGAGTCGCCCCCAAGTGTGGCCCACGCGGAGCAGTGCAGCCAAGGACATGGCAGCCAGGCAGCGTAGACAAGACTCTGCCCTCACGCCCCATCGCGCACAGTTGATGCTGCGGGGCACGGGCAGAGGGCGTGGCCGCCATGGCGCTACTGGGCGATCTGCGGCAGGCCCTGGAGGCAGTGAGTGGC